AAAAATCTCTGATATATTTGGGACCGTCGTTATGCAAACATTTATATAACAGAATAAGGGATTGTTGTTTCCTTCTCTGGTCTAACGTTTCCATATTCAAGATTCGCAGCAATTCATCATAAAGGGTAGACTTGAGATAACCTAGCAGTGATCTAAGAATATAATAGTTGGCATCTTCTAGCCGATTCGCTTGCACTTTCCCCAATCCAAGAAAGAGGGGGCAACAGTATTCAAAATGAGGGAGAATGAAAGTTTTATAGAGCCTTAACATAACATTGTCAGGGACAAAACGCCTGATTCTCCTAAGTGCGCCACTTTTAGCGTATACCTTTTGAAGCTGTTTAGTAATGTGATCCTTGAAAGATAGCATGCTATCAAGTTCAACGCCAAGTATTTTGATAGATGGCAGTGTCTCAATGACAGAGCTATGTATGGCCAGGTCGTAACTGTACTTACAGGGACCAATGGGTACTGCTTGCGTCTTTGTGTTGTTGATCACCAGATGATTCTCTCGAAACCACGATGATAACCGCTCAAGACCATTATTCACTACAAATTCGAGAACCATGGGCGAGACGTCTGAGGCATACATAGTTGTGTCGTCGGCGTATAACCTCAGAGATACATCCGGTATGGCGTAGTTCAAGTCATTTATATAAATGTTAAACAGCAGCGGTCCGAGGAGGGACCCTTGGGGAACGCCCACCATTACTTCTGAGTAGCTGGAGCAAACACCGGACAACTTAACTCGCTGTCTTCGCCCCAACAAATAGGAAGAAATCAAGTTTAATGCAGACGGAGAGGAGCCATACGCTTTTAATTTAGCCAATAGGAGGTTATGGTTAATAGAATCAAATGCTTTGGACAGGTCCACTGCCACGGCTATAACTGACTCCCTTTTGTCAAGGCTTCGCCTCCAGTCCTCAGTCATCTTCAAGAGTGCGGTGCAACAAGAGTGTTTCTTCAAGAACCCAGATAGATTCGGAGAAAGATGTTCATGGAAAGCGCCGTACAGCTGGTCAAACATAACCTTCTCGTACACTTTAGAAATGGCGGTAAGAATGGAAACAGGACGATAATTTTCTTTGCGTGTATCATCATCTTTTTTAAGTACCGGTGTCAAGTTCCCACTCTTCCATTCGGTTGGCCATAATTGGTTCATAATCAGATAGTTGATCAGCTGTGTTATCTCCTCCGTTAGGATGGGAGCAGCGAGCCTTAAGAGACCCGGTGAAATTACATTTACGCCAACAGCCTTCCGGGGATTTAGATTGTGTAAGATTTGACGAACATAGCCGCAGCTCACAGGCTGGAAGACAAACTGATCTAGCAGATTAGATTGGATTAGATTTACACTTGGATGATCGTTGAAGTCATTTTCGCGGTGATTTGTTGAAACTACATTTGCGAAATAGCTATTAAATATTTCCACCACCTGCCTGGGTTCCGTCGTGACCACACCGTTCTCTACAAGAGTTATGTTACTTAGTTTAGATATGCCAGAGTTTATTTATCCGAGAAGACTAGAATGTCTATCCATTTGATGATGTTATAGAAAGGTAGCACATTCTCCTCAGTTATTTTAAGACCTTGAGTGTTGGTCCGGCCGGGGCTTGAACCCTCGACCTCACGCACAACAGTCCGGCACTCAACCAATTGAGCTAACCGGGAGGCGGTTAGCTCAATTGGTCACTCGTCTATTAAAGAATTGGTTACTCGTCTTTTAAAGAATTGGTTCATGCTTAGCGTGCGTTTATCGAGTTATGGATGCACGCAGGAATTTTTTATTTTTTGCTCGACATGTAACCGAGAGCAACTCTAGCTTCTTGAGTTAGTACAATTTTCTTTCTCTTATTTTGCGAGACAGTAATTGCTTCGTATGTATTCCGTTGATAGTTTGCGCGGTTAACTGACGCGCGGCAGGTAAGACCTGATCCCATGACTCAACGTCTGACTGCTGTTGTAAAAGTGTGCCGTAAAATCACACATCAATACATAGATTGATATCACCCTTAACTGTGGTCCAAAATCTGCAAACCTGCAAACCTTACAGGTAAATAAAAGTATAAAGGCTAGACCAGATAGAAAAGGAGAAACTATTTTAAGACCTCGCAAAGTCTTTTAAGACCACGATGTACTCATTAGGCAATAAGGCTTTAGGAAAAACCCCATTTGTGTGTCTTCCTAAAAAGAGGCAATCATATTCACAAACGTATCCCACATATCGCCAAGCGAGATATTTCCGTGACCTCTTCCCTCGCCACGGCGAGTCAGGATGCCTCAATATTAAAGGTGTCCAGCTGCGTGGAACGCGCAAAAAGCCTTTGTCATTTATTCACAGAACTGAGGTTTATTTTTGAAAGAAGGAGAAACAGTTTGCGACTGTGTACTTTGTCTTTTCCGTCTTCTAGAGCCATGTGAACTACATCTTCAAAATAACATTATATCGTAACAGTTCTTTCAACTGTGTAGTTTTGTTTTATTTTTAAACTATTTTGATTATTATCCAGCGGCATTAAGGAGGAATGACTTAGTCATTCCCAGACGAAACGGATAGACTACCCACCAAGGCCCTTGCTGGGTTTACTTGTGGTACTTCCTTTGTTACATAACAAACATAACACATCATCGCATGTTGGGGTGATTAGTTTACCGTAGGAATCAAAAACGCAGGGCTGGATCTTGTTTGAAACATTAGTTGTTGACTGATCTTCGTACTCTCACTGTAAAGAGAAATCATTTGCGAATTTCAAGCCGTGGTTGATTGCTTTATTTCCATCCATAGGTGGTTGGGATACAACCTCGTTCCCAAGGTCTATAATCTTCCCGCCCCCCTCTTACTCCAGGGGGCTGGAAAATGATAGACCTTGGGAACAACAACAACTTTAACAACTTTATTTTTTTCACCCCAAAATATACAAGAAAGAAAAATTTATAATAATAGTACAGACAATGATGGGGGCGCTGGCTGCCCGAAATAACCTAAGAGTTAAAAATGCCAGGCAGCCAGTTAAAAGAAAAGATGTTTAAATGTTTAGGTGAGGGACACAAAAACAAAGAAACACAGAAACGCACACAAAGATAAACTACCAGTATATTAGAGAGACTAAAATTCATACATTGCAAAACAGTATTATTTCCATTTTAAAGTTACATAGACAATACAGATGTCTAGTAATCTTTGATAAATTGCTGCTTCACTTTCTTTTTAAACAAAGACAATGAAGATAATTTTATATCTTCGTCAATGGAATTCCATATTGATGGACCTTGAAATCTGATATTGAATATATCATAATTTGTTCTTGCTTTTGGAAGATAATAAGACTGTTTTGCACCAAGCCTTGTATTATAGGTATGGATTTGCGAAATTTTACTAATAAAAGAATTAAAGACTGATGGCAATAATTGATTATGATATTTATACATAAAGATTGCTAAATGAAAAGTTACTAGGTCTAGGAATTTTATAATTTCAAGAGATTTAAATAAAGGACTAGAGTGCTCATCAAATCTAGAAAAGGTAATTAATTGCATTGCTTTTTTTTGTAAAATGAAAATTGGTTGAAGAGTGGTCTTATAGGTATTTCCCCATTTTTTAAAGTAAAAAAATTTAAATATATTGCATGCACTATCATTGGATACAAAAATAATTTCCCAGTCAATTAATTGAATCTCACTAATGAGGGCCTGCTGATGAAATTTAGAGTAATCTCTTTTGAATATTTTAACATTGCAAGGAAGTGATGAAAATTTATTAAAAATTAGGAAATTAGGAAGGTGATCAGAGAGATCATACACTATGGTACCACTGATTGTAAAATGCTCAATTGAATTGAAAAAACTATTATCAATTAAAGTTGCTGAATGATTTGTAATTTTTGTTAGTTGCATTATATAGGGCTGAGAAAAAATTAGAACCCAGAGTGTTAAGGAAACCATCAGTTGCTGAGTGTGATTCAAATTTCAAAAGATCTATGTTAAAGTCTCCCATGATTATACAAGTTTTGTTTTCTTGATTAATTCTATCAGTTGTGGAGCTCACATATTCAATAAATCTTTCTAAGTCACCATTTGGATGCCTATAAATTATTCCACAGAGTAAGTTTGAATGACAATTATTATGTACCTCAATCCATAAGGCTTCAAAATCATTAGCAGTGATTGTAAATTCAGGTCTTATGTTAAAATTTAAGTTATTTTTTATGTAGAAAGCAACTCGCCCAGCATTGGAAAGGCTTGGCTGGGAGAGATACTGATATCCACATCAGTCAGTGTTAGATATAGGAGGCTGATCAAATTTCTGTTTGATTTCAGTAAGACCAATTAATGAGAAAGGAAAATATAGCTCTGATGACAATGGTTGACAATTTATCATGATTAGCTGATAGGCTTCTAATATTACAATTAATCAAAGAAAAAGATTGACCACTCAATAGACACTCGTCGATGTCATATTTACTATGAAAATCATGAGTACTATAGAAACAAAAATTGTTTTCCAAAGGCATGTTTAGGTCAGCATCTAAATCAGTGAGGTGCGGAATGTTACTAGGAGAATTGATAATTAAAGATGGAAGTGAATTGGCCAAATCACAGGCCATATCACTAGTGTCAGTTACACATTTTAAACAGTTCATCAAATCGTTAAAGTTCAGAAAATAAATACTTATCTAGATTGTATCTTCTGAAGATCCCCTTTGTTATTAATATGGTGAACAGCAGATTCTTTGTCTTTTCTCATTAAGATTTTTCCATGTAAAGTCCAAATGAACTTGAACTCCACATCCTTCTTTACCTTCAAACAATCTTTGAATAACATTCGATTCCTTTCTGTCAGGCTCTCTGCAAGATAGATCTTGTGTTGTAGAGCGTTTTCAAGGATTGATATTTCAAGTGTTTTTAGGTTTGCCTTTTGTTGTATTAAGTCGCACCTTTTCGCCCCTACGTGCTATTTTGATGAATCTATAGTTTTGATCATTTATTTTTAGTGTGTGCTTGAACTTGGCTCAGCACTTACCGTGCTAGACATTTATATCTCTTGTTATGGTTGAGGATAACTAGTTTGCTAGGTGATCATGTTTGAGTTGTTAAAACTGACCTTGAGTCTTACCCACACTGAACATCCTGTTTTGGAAATTCCCACGGTTAGCTAACTCAAACATGTCTGTGACTTTTTGTATTTAATACTGGAACACTCCTTGCTCCAGTAGTAGAAAATAAGCAGTGGAACAGGAGAGAGAAAATTAGCTGTAGTAGAAGCAGCAGTTTAGGAGAATAAAGAAGAAAATTACAGAGTCTCAGTACCTCTAGTTAATTCGCCAAGCGAGTGGTAAAACTCCCCCAACACTTGTTTTTCTCGGAATATCCAAGATCTCGCGTTGTTAAGTCCTTGAGCTGCTTCCTTGCACGATAGAAATTATCTTTGACATCACGCATAGTAAATTTGACGATAATAGCTGGCGGTCCAGGCTTGCCTTTGTGTTTTTGATTTTGAGGCATTCGATGGCTCACTGAAATGTCATTTTGAGTAATATCCATTCCCAGTAGTTTACCGACATCCGTCACAACATTATTAGTTTGCTCTTCTGATGGAGTAGCAGCAACAGGGATTCCTCGGATTTCTACACACTCTCTACGAGTCTACTGCTCAAGATCATTGTTCGCTCACGTAATTGATTCCAGTGAACTTTCAATGCCGCGAATTGTTGCCTTCAAGATCTTATTCTCATCGTGCAAAATCTTATTCTCATCTTTCAAAGCCTTTCTTTCCTCCTTTGAGCTCTTCAACATCTCTAGCAATTCGTCATACTTCGCATTCACAAATTCGAGAAAACTCATCGCCTCTTTAACTGATTTTTTTTAACTCGGAGATTGTCGAGTTAAGTGGATTGAGTTTCTCGTCTAAAATTTTGGTAAATTCGTCGCAATTAATAGCCGGCGTACTGGTAGATACTCACAATATTAAACAGATACAATATATCACACGCTAGAGAGCACTAGGGAACGAAGTTGGTTGGGTTACTTTTATAAACAAACTTGTGGAGACCGATGTTTATTGAAAAGAGAATTTGGGAATAAAACATTTGGAAACTAACACAGATCTGATTGAGACTGTAAGAACTGCTTTAGTTTCATCGACCTCACATTCATGAAGTTTCCAGGCAAAGAGTGTGGGCTGTTTAAAGACCTTTTATTTCATTTTCTCCTGGCTGAATTTGCACTTCCTCCTTTAAAGCATGGTTCACGTATGATTGCAGACGATCGCAGGCGATCGCACTCGATCACCAGCGATCGTCTGCGATTATATGTGAACAGCTCTACGATCGTGTGCAATCGAGTACGATCGTGTGCGATCGCTATCGCAAGCGATCGCGGGAATAGAACCATGTTCTAGTCGTGCGATCGAGTGCGAACATATGTGAACAAAGTTCTGCGATCATGCGATTGGAATGTGTCCAATAATGCTATGCAAGCGGAATGCTATCATGACAACCAGTTGTTTATCAGCTTTTACACGTGCGTGTGTTTTGACAAGACGGAAGGTGAAATTGACACGCAACAGTCTATGGAAGAAATAAGAAAATACGATTGTTTGTTCAATCGCTTTAGCAAAGAATTCTTTCTTTCTTAAGACTTTTTGCACCAAGAAGCGACGTTTCTTCTTTGATCTGGCAGCGATTCTCCGTTAAGTCAAGACAACAGAAGCAGAATATTAACAGAATATTAAAAGTTCAGCGTCCTTTGCGTTTATGTTGGTTGACTGGAGTTACATTGTATTGCCGCTGAATGGTAAACCATGGACTCGGTTGTCACAGATCGCTGCGATCGGCTGCGATCATATGTGAACATGCGATTTGCGATCTTCGGTTGAGCCTCGTTAGCCCTAATCGTCAGAGCGAATATGGGAATTGTGGGTTGTGTGTGCTTTTAAAGGCAGAAAAAGGAGCTACGTGATTGGTGAGAACATGGCAACGAGAAAAACACGAATAAATTAGTGGAATGAAAAGCTTTTGTTGATACCTGTGGGAAAGAAACAGCCAAAAATTCTTTAACTGGGTGACTTAGTTAATCTTTATCATTCATTACTAACTTTATGTCAGAATAAGATTCATTCAAATCATGAAACGTTTGATGTTACGTTCTTTGAGTTACAAAACATTTTGACGCCAAGATACCCCCATACTTCATCATCGGTGCAGTTCTTAGATTAAAAAAAAAACTTGAAATATGGTGAAGACAATATATTGCCTTTGGTACCACTGCAATGTTTTAGAATAGTTTGGCCGGGCTATACGGGAATCTTTCCCACTCTTCAAACCCATTTGTCTCAATTCTTCATTGAACGTCTATTGACGATTATCGCAGAAAATCTCTGACATGAAAACATTTGGACAATAAAACACGTACATCAATTTTACAACGTTTGAATAAATGACTACAAGAGATCAGTTTATAATCCCTTGATGAATGAAAAGATAAATAGAAAGGAAAAAAGCAAGGTAAATTGTCGCCGCCACCTTCCGACTGAAGATTGACCTTCTTAAAATGTTTGTTTAAACTTCCCTTTGATTTAGAGAAACAGGTGTGAATTTTTGAACATTTGAAGCTGCATGCTATGAGACGTGTATGTTTTATTTACTATGTTGCTTATGTTCAAGTTAGTCGAGTGGAGAAGCGCGGAAAGTAAAAAATTTACGAAGATGGTTTGAAGAAATCGTGACTATCGTTGTGTTGGCTTTACATAATGATGATTTTAGTTCGCCTATCTATTTCATTGCGGCATTTATGGTTATACTCATAAGATTATACTGCTGATAACACTGTGAATGAATTTCCCTGAGAAAAAATATATCGACATACTACATAAAGAATTGGGTCCCATTATGATCAATTTATGAGAAAATGCCCTTTGACAATTGGCCAAAACTGACTGTCTAAGCAAGAAGGAAGATTATACCGTTTCTTTAGCTTGATAAGGTTTGCCAAAATTGCTGCAGGTTAATGGATGCGTTTATTCATTTCTTTCAGTTTTATTTCGGCAATTTCTGCGCATATCAGTACTTAATTCATTGATAAAAATGCCAGTTTTAGGTCTTGTGACGAGCGTGTGGGGATTAGGAAAAAATCCTGAGGCCGCATAAGGGATCGAATCTCTACCACTGAGCCAAAAAATCTCCATGGTGAGCTACGCCATATGTAACACACATCTTTCTAGACAATTCTGAGTCATGGGGATTCAGAATTTTTACCACGTCCCTCATGTTGTGAAAAGACGAAAAAAAAAAAAACATCTTTATTTCATAAGCGAGCTAAGAAAACTAACATCTTTCTTATTTCCTTAATTTATCATTTTCTATTGACTATCAATATTTCAATGTCTGTAGCTTGGTTGCCATTTCCTTCCGTCCGCAGAGCTTTTTCCAGTCCTGATCCAACATCTTATGTCCTGAGCGATATCTGGCGTTAATTTGAGCGGAAGATCTGAAAACACAGCAAGAGGGCTTCTGCACGCATTAGGCATGACGCCTACATACCTAATATCATATTTGCATGATTGAAGCTCGTAAAAAGTGGATAAATTATGTTCATCAAATCATTCGTTCTCGGTGACAACCAGACTGGATGGAACCGAAATTTTTAGTAAAACGTAATTATTGATTCTCTTTTAAAATTTTCCCTCTCTATTCATCTTAAGCAGTCCGAGTCCGAGGTCCGCCGTCAAAACAGTTTCTATAAAAGCTGTTTGATCATCGCTGAGTTTTTCTTCTTTTTAAGAAATGTCATGGATTCTTTGAATCATGTAATCTGTATATCTATCTAATCTTTTCTTTTTTTAGATAATATGAACATTTTCTTTGGACCCTTACTCTCTTTATCTCTAATAAGTCAGATTAAAGCTGATATATTTCTTCTTTTAGCACATAAAACGGATACATAAACAGTTAAATTTTCGCGTGGTTTCGTAACATGCAACAAAAATCTGGTATGTACGCGTCGCAGACCTATCCTTTACTAACGTGACCGCCGTTGGTGTAATTCACGCTGCTTGACGGTTGATTATGTCATTCGCTATTTAATTTTTTTTTTTTTTTTTTTTTTTTTTTTTAACCTTGTGCCGGAAAAACGGATTCTGGCAAAAATTATGGTCCTCTTAGATAATGCAATCCACAAAACTTTCAGTGTTTTAAATGGGAATGACAAATTACGTAACACAGGATACCCAGCCTTATATTTGTTTTAATTTTTTTGTTTTAAATTTTTTATGGTAGAAATCATTGTTTACTCTGTTACATAACGACCGGTTAATTATCTAAAGCGTTTCTACGGAAGCTTGTGGACCTATGAGAAAACCGGATTTGTCGATCGGACAGATATGTTGATATCTTGGCAAGGAAATAAACTTGCTGTATTGCTTGTTGTTCATTTATTTCTCAAATCCGTGCCATTTACAAACTTAAAAATTCCATAACTCGCTTGAATAGCTTCGGTTTGGCCCGGGGCGCGAGACAACATGTTGATAATTCAACAAAGAATAGTTCAACTTTGAAATCTGTTTGCCCCAAGAACATCAATCACGTATCATCTAAAGCAGGAATCAAGAGCTCCGATAGCCATAGTTTCACGTTTCGTTCGTTGCACTTGTTTGTCACTCAGAACCTCCGCTCATCATAGGCTTGGGCTGCCTGTGTTAAGCAATAGCGCGAGCATGCAAATTTGACACCGCCATCACTCAACCGCCGCGGCAACAAACCGGCAGCCAAGCGGCAGTAAAACGGGAATGATGGTTCGCTTTGTGGAGCTGTGGTGCCTCCTAACGATGCCGATTTCTGGTAGGTACGCTTGTAAAGGCGAGATCTTCAGTTTAAGTCCGTTTGATACCGACAGTTAACAGTTTGATCCAGGGAATAATAATAATACTCTTGAGATGTATGGATTTTAGTGCGTAAATTGCTTTTGTTGTACAGGGTTTGGTTATAAGAAAGTTTTGCTCGAAGAGAACCTGCCTGATATAGGAAATCGTGAAGCGATCGATGAACGAAGCTGAGAATTCAGTCATTCAGATCGGTCAAGCTCTTAGCACGATGAAAACGTTGAAAGGCACATTTGACCGACATCACTGAAACTAAACTGTGTAGCTGTTCATTGTTCACTAGAATACAATCACAGAATGCCAAGCAACCTTAAGAACACTGAATAACATGGTTAAATATTTCACTCCAAGACAATCATTTACAGTAGTAGAATACCGCTTCTACAAACGTGTCGCTTTTATGTCGAATTTTCATAACAATTCACCTTCGCTGTACATTCCAGTTCCCACATGATCAATATTACGCAAAACAAAGCATTTTTGTAGTGTTTCTATGTATCTTAAATTTATAAACATTTATTTGTGTGTATCATTTAGTTTTGGCCTACATGGCGCTTCCTACAATATTTCCATATCGCGAATGTATTTTTTAACGAGATATATTTCCCCCAGAGACAAGTATATTTCGTGACGTGGTCGGACACTATTTAATGTAATATTACCAAATGAACAAGGCTGGAGGGCATGACCTAAGTTCCATCTAGAAAAATAAAGCACTCCAAGACGCTCTTCGAAATCATTCAGACTAAAATTTGCATGCGCTGGCGTGTCACGCAATTTATTATAAATACATTGCGCGGTGAGAGTAGATTTGGTAGACCACCTTGCCGTGGGCAAAATTTAAAATATGAATATTTTATTGGAACAATTTCATATATGAGTATTAAAATATTCTTTAAAGAAAGCTTTTGACCAGAACTTTAAATTAATCGATGTGAGAGTCTTTGAATATGTTTCAGCGATACTG